CTGGATGTGGTATGCACTATTTGAGTCTCTATTTTCAACAGTCCAATCCTGTTTGTCATTCCTGACAGTTCCCTGAGTGGACAGCCTGCTTATACTTATGATCTCAATGGCAAAGTTCACCCATTTCTGGTAAAGGTACACTCCACTAGGTATGTTAGTGTCTTTCCAGCATCATGCATCTCTTTTTATTAGATTTACAAGGATGCCACCTGATCCTGTTCACATGTTAAAGTTCTACCAGAGTACATTACAGGGCACCCCCCCCCCCCCAGAAGCAGCATAACCTATGTCCCCTAATACTCTTGTGTGCTGTAAGGTACTCCAAGAAAAATATTTTATGGCAAGTCTGGAATCCCATTTTTTTCTGTACTTGCAGAAAATGTACTCGGCCTGCAAAAATAAATCTAATGCAGCCATTACACCTAAGTACTGGTAGACTATAATGTATTCAATTTAGGTCTTGGGATCAGATATTCTTTAAAGCACATACACATAAGGTATTGGAACTGTTATAGGTTATTAGAAGAAAAATGTTTTGTCATAGTTCTCCTTTCAGACTAATCCAGTTTTTTGCATTATTCACAGTTTATTATTAATAACTGAGCTCTTTATTTCTGCTCTTTTGGGTCTTAATTACCTTGCTCATTACTGCTATGCTGTAATTTGTGGCATTATGTATTAATTATACATATAGTTATTGACCTCACTTGTTAACTCTTAGAACCCATGAGATACAGGCATATGATGAGGCTGAGCAGGTCTCAGTGGAGGTGACGTCATGGGAACAGAGCACTGTCGCAGAGCCAGAAGAACAGAAGCATGGGTGAGTTAAATTCTGTGAAAGGTCTCTTATTTTTGTTAACTCTTTCCTTGAGCAATAGGCCAGGGTGTGGGTCCAGTTTATGCCTCTTGACACAGTTTCACAATATCTGCGAGCCAGAGTTTGTTTTAGCATGAAATTTAAAAGCTAGTATCCACTGACTATGAACATTCCTAGAAACCAGTAACAAAGGTTACATTGTACAACATAAGTACTATAATTTGCTTGCTACAAAACTAGAAGGTGGTTTCCACACTCAAATGTGCTATAGAAATCTGATGTCCTGTTTGTGACATCAGCATTCAGTGTTCAGAGGCTTCATACTGACATCACAGCTGATCTACTTCTTTGTGCTTCTCTGCAACAACAGATGATTGAAATGTATTTATTATAACAGATGTCAGTAAGCAGTGATATATTACTATGTGTGGTCTTTTTTTTACCTTTATACAGTTTATTCACTAGTTAATGTGGTCCATATTGATTTGATCAAACACCCTGTCACAAAAAAAAATTAAAAGCCCAAGTGTATTTTTATATTTTTATTTAAATCGCTAACCTAAGAATTATAAAATGAATTAAGGCTTTCGCTGTAATACTGAATTCCTCTCTTACCCACTCTCCTATCCAGCACTGATCTTCTTTTGGGTTTGATGCTTAGCATAATTTAACTCCCTGTGTGTGCAGGGCATCAAGGACACACCCACTGGGAGCACCCAGCAATGGAGAAGAGACTTTTTGTCGAGGCTTTAAGAATAAATGAGAGAAATGGAAAATAATTTGTGATTAAATGGTGATACAAATCATGAACTGATGATTAAAAAAATGGAAATTTAAAAATATACAAATAATTTCTTACATGAATGTTGTGCAGCCATTTTTTACTTGATTAGATTTGACTTGTTCTGAGATTTGAAAAGTGCTATTATAATTTAGGATGAATTAAAATAGAATGTCAAAACTCCACTTTTTCTTCCAAAAGACAAAAATCTAAATCCAAATTCTCAGCTTCTGAGTTCAGACTATGCAGTTCAAGAGTTGGCCAACCCTTCACTTTTGTATGCGGGTTCTTGGTGTGATAGTTACCTCCTGTAAGGCAATTCTGTATGCCCAATTTTAACCAAGACGCTTACAACTCAACATTCATGCTGCATGAGCCAAGAAGGAACATTAGACCAGAGATACGCAACCATTTAGAGGTGGATATCTACCTGAACAACATGAAAGAGACTGGAGATAACCAGGGTACAATGAACTTTTTTCTTTTTCTTTTTTTTTTTTTTTTTTTTTAAAGGAAATTGCCTAGCAAGGCCCAAATAAAAAGTAAGCATGGCATGGAGAAAACTTAGAAGAATCTAATAAAACAAATGTCACTGAAAATTATAAACTTAGCCTGCCTAAAGTAGTTATAAGTGCAAATTTTTTCCCCCTAAAGCAATAAATATGTTATACTTACCTGCTCTGTTGCACAGAGCAGCCCTTTTCCTCCTCTTCTGGGGTCCCCTACCTGTGCTTTCTGCTCCTCCTTTTCTGCGAGTGCTCCCCTAGCAAGCTGGTTAAAAGGGGCGTACTCATGTGGGCACACTGTCAAACCGCGCTGTGTGCGTCCATAGACACACAGCATTGTTCGACTCTGCCCCCTGTTCCCTCTTTACAGGATGTGATTGACAACATCGGAAGTCAATGGCTCCTGCTGCTGCCTCTGTGTCCTGTGAGAGCAGGGAAAGGGGAAAGGACCGCTGTAGATGGGCACATAACTGGATTGAGAAAGGACTCTGGTAAGTGTTTGGGGGGGGAGCAATTCAACCACTAGAACATTTTTACTTTAATGCAGGGAATGCATTAAGGTGACAAATGTCTTGACTTTAGAACCATGTTAAACTTTGCTTAAGTGAGAAACTTGCTATTCACTTTCATTCACAATTTGTTTCATGTCTGGAGAGTAATTTGTCACCTCAAGTCTGATGCAGGAGTCCATCACAAAGGCGTAACAACTGGTACTGCAGCCTGACTTTCCTGACTAGTTTCTGGCCTGGCTGTCTGCTCTGATGTCTGGCCTGGCTGGCTGGATTACATTCTGGCCAGTGTAAGTAATAAGAACGTCAGTGTTCAGGGGTCAGTAGTATGTAGGGCAGTGTACAGAGGTCAGTAGTATGCAGGGCAGTGTACAGTGGTCAGTATTAGGTAGGGCAGTGTACAGAGGTCAGTAGTATGCAGGGCAGTGTACAGTGGTAAGTATTAGGTAGGGCAGTGTACAGAGGTCAGTAGTATGTAGGGCAGTGTACAGAGGTCAGTAGTATGTAGGGCAGTGTACAGAGGTATTAGGTAGGGCAGTGTACAGAGGTCAGTAGGATATATGGCAGTTTACAGGGGTCAGTATTATGTAGGGCAGTGTATAGAAGTTGATTAGTATTTACAGCAGTGTACAGAGGTCACTAGTGCGTAGGGCGGTGTACAGGGTCAGTAGTTTCTAGGTACAAGGGTCATGAGAATGTAGAGTGGTGCATAGTAGTCAGTAGTATGTAGGGCAGTGTACAGGGATCATCAGTTTGTAGGGCAGATTATAAGGGTCAGCAGGGCAGAGGACAGAGATCAGTGGGGCAGTGTACATGGGGTTCAGCAGGGCAAAAAACAGGTCAGTGTACAGGGATTAGCAGGGCAAGGAAAAGTTCAGCAGGATAGTGCACAGAGGTCAGCAGGGCAGAGGACAGGGGGATCTGTAGGGCAGATACAGGGTTCAGCAGGGCGGAGGACAGTAGGGCAGTGTACAGGGGTTAGCAGGGTTGAAACAGTAGAGCAGTGTACATGTAATGGCATGCAATGCCAAGCTGCGGTTTGTAAAACGAGCAAAATCCTCTCTTGTATTGACAGGTATAGACTCCAGAGAGAGAGAGAGACCTCATTTTACCCCGGTACAAATCATTAGTAAGACCTCATCTGGAATATGCAGTTCAATTTTGGGCATCAACTCACAAAAAGAACATTGGGGAACTGAAGAAAGTGCAGAGAAGGGCAACCAAACTTTTAAGAGGCATGGAGGAGATCAGCTATGAGGAAAGATTAGAAGAACTGAATTTATTCTCTCTTGAGAAGAGGAGATTAAGGGGGGATATGATCAACATGTATAAATACATCAGTGGTTCATATAGTGAACTCGGTGTAGAGTTATTCACCCTGAGGTCATCACAGAGGACAAGGGGGCACTCTTTACGTCTGGAGGAAAAGAAATTTAATCTCCAAACACGGAAAGGTTTCTTCACAGTGAGAGCTGTGAAAATGTGGAATAGATTCCCTCAAGAGTTGGTTCTGGCCAACTCAGTGGATTGCTTTAAGAAAGGCCTGAATTTTTCTTGGATACACAGAATATGAATATAACTGGATACTAACATTAGGTAAAGTTGATCCACGGAATATCTGATTGCCTCTTGGGGGATCGGGAAGGAACTTTTCCCCTGCAGGAAAAAGCTAGAAAAAAAGCTGTTAGGGGCATTTTAGTAGCGTGTAGGAGAGTTTAGCATTTTTTCTGCTGGCAAAACTCTCCAAAAACAGTTTTTTTTTTCTTCTCCTAGATGCTGGAACTCAAAAAATGCTAATAGCCTAAAGTAGTGTGCATGGACACATAAGATAACACTATTTAGCTTCTAGGAGCAGAAAAAAAAAATGCTAATAGCTTCTAGGAGTTTAAAAACAAATGGAGGCTAAAACAGTGTAGGCACTTATTAATGTTTTACATAGCTATACCTGAAAAATGGGCCAACCAAGTTTTTTAGTTCTTGCATATTGCTTTAGGTATATTGGGAAAATAAATAGCACTTTGGGCTACCGTATTTTTTGCTCCATAAGACGCACTTTTTTCCCCCAAAAAAAGGGGGGAAAATGTCAGTGCGTCTTATGGAGCGAATATGGAGCGGCCGGTCCGGTATTTCCACTGCCGCCGTGTCAGAATACCGGGCCGGCCGCTCAGCTCTACAGCGGGACCTTATAGAGATGACTGCTGACCTTTGGGGAGGGAGGGGGAGCGGGTACCTGAATTTGACAGGTACCCGCTCCCACTTCCGTGGAGTTGTTCTTTCATCTTACCCGTTCCTCTATCCAGCGGCGCGGTCTTCCCGGCTTCTGTAGTGTGGGCATGACAGCCGGGTGCCAAGTGCGCATGCGCAAGAAGCGGTGCTTTTTGTGAATGGTAAGGCGGCACCTGGGACACATGACAGATCCCAGAAGCCGCCGGACCAATCACAAAGCGCAAGTGCTTCTCGCTCATGCGCACTGGGCACCCGGCTGTCATGCCGAGCGCCATTACAGAAGCCGGGAAGACAGCGCGCGGCTGGATCGAGGAACAGGTAAGATGAAAGAACAACTCCGCGGAAGTGGGAGCGGGTATCTGTCAAATTCAGGTACCCGCTCCCCCCCCCCTCCCCAAAGGTCAGCAGTCATCCCCTGTACTATCCACAGTCTCTGGTCATCCCTGTGCTGTCCGCAGTCTCTGGTCATCCCTGTGCTGTGTCCGCAGTCTCTGGTCATCCCTGTGCTGTGTCCGCAGGTCATCCCTGTACTGTGTCCGCAGTCTCTGGTCATCCCTGTACTGTGTCCGCAGTCTCTGGTCATCCCTGTACTGTGTCCGCAGTCTCTGGTCATCCCTGTACTGTGTCCGCAGTCTCTGGTCATCCCTGTACTGTGTCCGCAGTCTCTGGTCATCCCTGTACTGTGTCCGCAGTCTCTGGTCATCCCCTGTACTATGTCTGCAGTCCGTTAGTTCAGAATTTTTTTTTCCTGTTTTCTGCCTCTAAAAACGTAGGTGCGTCTTATGGAGCGAAAAATACGGTACTTTGCAAATATTGTTATAAATAACCTTTAAAATTAGCTATTTTAAAAGTTCCTATTTAAAAATGTGCCACTAATGTGTCCTATAGTGACATTGAGGTTAGTAGGAGGAACCAGTGAGCACTGCATGGAATATAGTGTATTGGCGTTTTTCAAAAGTTTAAAAAAAAAAAATTTCACCCAGCGATTGCTTTTCATTTGGGCATTGTTTGGCAGCAGGAAAGGTAAATGTATACTTTCTACTTTACAGGCTCATTTTTAAATTAGGACACAAAGTTGCACAATAAGCTTCTGGGCCTTTTCAGTAAGAAATACTTAAAGTGGAGCTCCACCCAAAATTTGAAGTTCCTTTAAGTCTTTGTTCCCCGCTCCCCATTAAGGATTGGCACCTTTGGGGAGCGGGTACCCAAATTTGACAGGTTCCCACTACCCCAGCAATTGAAAGCGGAAGTTGTCCCCCCCCCCCCCCCCCCCCCCCCGTAGTCTTGTGGGACACGTGACACGTCCCAGAAGACTACGGGGCCATTCCCAAAGCGCATCGCTTCTCACGCATGCACAGTGGGCACCCGGCTGTGAAGCCAGAAGCCACAAACTGTCACAGCCTGGTGCCCACGCTGAAGATGCTGGCGCCAGGGAGAGAAGACGGCCAGTGAACCCAGCGGGGACAGGTAAGTGTCTGTATTTTAAAAGTCAGCAACTACAGTTTTTGTAGCTGCTGACTTTTTTTTTTTTTTTTTCAGGTGGAACTCTGCTTTAACCAAAAGTATACTTCTCTTCAGCCTTGTTTTAGACTCATCGTTTTTGTTTTTTTACTTCCAAAGCTGCAGCACTTCAGAATGCTTCCATACTTTACCAAAAGGTTAAAAATGTTATGCTTCCTGCAGATGGCATTCTGGTACAGTCCAGGATATTTGCTGCAAATTAAATACTTGTTTTTTTCTCTATAGAGAGGCTTCTGGCTGTATGGCAAGAGCATATTCAGGTGAAGAAACTGGAAGTCAACGCTCTGAAGAAGAGGAGGAGATACCAGTGACAGACATATACTTTGTAAGTTCATTACAAAAACAGTAAGAACTGATTCTTGGTAGATATAACGAACACATAGGGATTGACTTACTAAAATTGGAGCATGCAAAATTTGGTGCTGCTCTGCATAGAAACCAATCAGCTTCCAGGTGGTTTTTTGTCAAAGCTTAATTGAACAAGCTGAAGTTAGAAGCGGATTGGTTACAATGCACAGCTGCACCAGATTTTGCACTCTCCAGTTTTAGTAAATCAAACTCACAGTATAAACAGAATATAGCAATACAGTCAAAATATATTGATGCACATATCTGATTCCTCATTTCTGCACATCTACAAATGTATAGTGTTGCAAATGTTCCTTAGGATGGAAAGTGAAGATACTAAACAAATGGCTGAAACATAAATCGCTGTCGGCACATGAATTAGATGAAATTTATTTCGTACAATTGGAGTGCTTGAAAGGATATTTACAAGTATGCACGTCATACTTGCACATTATTGCTGTTTCAGGTAAAATATTTTTAAGCTCTTCTCTGGTATTTCACAGCCATCAGTGCTATTTTCACTGATTCTTCTCCCTCTGCTGGCAACTTCCTCTTCTACTGATAAGCTGGTAGGTGTGGTGAGACTCTCATACAAGTGCATTGGAGTTGCATTATCCTGGCATCAAGCTGTACTGTATTGGCATCTGACAGGCAATGTTTTTTTTTTCTTGTGTGGGGGGGGGGGGGGGGGTGTTTATGTTGCTAGCTAAAGGGAAAGGTTTTTTTTTTTTTTTTTTTTTTTATTGCAAAGGAGACAAAAAATGTGCATACTAACACATTTTTTGCACTTTTCAGTTCATTTTTATTGCTGCATATTGTTGTTTTTCATTTTTGCATTTGAAACTCATCTGTTGGTTTCACAGCTACTATACTGTAGTAATGGTTTCTGTGTATCCTATGTATCCTTTTAAATTCAGTTAGAATGGCAGAAATACATATTAGCATGCAAAAAAATACCTTGTTAAAAACAAATACACAGGTAGGGAAGGCAAAACTACTTACACACTAATAACTTTTACGGCTCATTGACCCTAGTTTGGTCTCTAAAGAGCAACCTGGATCTCTCTTTAGCATGCATTTGACAGGCAGTAAGTGAAAGCACACTCTTGGGTTCTGGCACCCGGCTAGTCCACAAGACTAAAGTGGATATGGGGAGCGTTGGTGCAGTGGGATGTGCAGAGATTGCCTAACTGCATAAACTTGATGCTAAAAAAAAAAAACTATACAGACCCTCAAGAATAATAAAATTATTATCAGATCAGCAGATAAAGGGGGAGCAGTGCTAATTATGGATAATTTGTATTTAAGAAGCACATAGCTTTCCAACACAACATACTAAAATGTACTAAACACAGACCCCACACAACAATATGCACAGGAAATGAAACAGCTACTTAATAGTGTCTCACCAAAAAACTTCACACGTTCTGGTGTACTTTTACTTTGTGGGTAAATTATAAAGGGGTTGATTTAGTAAAACTAGAGAGTGCAAAATCTGTCCATGGTAGCCAAACAGCTTCCAAGTTCAGCTTGTTCAATTAAGGTTGGTTTCTATGCAGAGCTGTACCAGATTTTTGCACTCTCCAGTTTTAGTAAATCAAGCCCACAGTCTCTTTTATAGCCTGCTCCAGACACTGCTTTCTATGTTTGTACTATTTGCAATATTATATAAGTATTTTGTAACATTCTTGCTATTCGCTACCAAAATACACAATCTCTGGTATTGCGCACTAAAATATGGACTATCCAGCTGGGTAGGCAGCATCCTAAATGCGCAAAAAGAAACACAGCTAGTCCTGCTGAAGACACCACAGACCCCCCTAACAAACTGCCCTGGGTCAGCTTCCGGAAGGTACATCCACAATGGATTTTGAATCCCCGTATTCTAATAACCTGCATGAGGAAGGTTTTGCAACCTACCAGCATTTCCTCCAGTAATAGAGCTAACCCACGGAGCCAACATTACTGCTCACCAAGTGCGTATTAACACAGTTTTTTCTTGTTTTGGGGAGAAATTTAACATTAAACCTCTGGTCTATATAGATCATATCATATTAATATGGTAGAGAGATGGGGTAAGTACCAGATCACTTTGAGAATATTGGGCATCATCATGTTTGCAACTCATAACTAGGCAGCTTTTCAAAGAACAGGGGCTGTAGGTATAGCTCCTGTCTCAAAGGGGTTAGAAATGTTGATTGGAAGAGTACCAAACCTATTGGGGTTGATTTACTAAAACTGGAGAGTGCAAAAAATCTGGTGCAGCAGTGCATGGTAGTCAATCACTTTTATAACTTCAGTTTGTTCAATTAATCGTTGACAAAAAAAAAAAAAACCTGAGAGTTGATTGGTTTCCATGCATAGCTCATCAGATTTTGCACATACCAGTTTAAGTAAATCACCCCAATTTTGTCCAGGAAATTTTGTTTATTCTTGCAGTCAGAGACTAAATCAGTGCATTTCGAGGATTTCAAGAGGCTCATGCATATGAAATACCAGAATGTTAGAAGTCTAGACTGTGAGGTTAAGTATATCCTTGGGTAAATTATGGAATTTCTTTTATAGCCTGCTTCAGACACTGGTTTGTATGTAAGTAATTAGTACTTTTCCAAACACTAACAGAGAATCCGTAAACATCGCTTTAATATAATGAAAGGTGACGTCACCGGTACAGGAGCATCGCTGTAGTGTGTGCACTGTCATCAGAGTTTTTACCATTATATGCAAGCTGGTTGCCAGTGGCCAGGGCCCAGCCTGTTTGTGTTAAGTTGATTAGTGCTCCTCTTCCTTGTTCTGTTAGAATGATGGATAGAAAACTGGCTAAAAGATCGTATTCAGAGAGTAGTGGTTAATGATTCATACTCTGCATGGTCTAGGGTTGTTGGTGGTGTACCCCAAGGTTCAGTGTTGGGACCCTTACTTTTTAATATATTTGTAAACAATATAGGGTCTAAGATTAAAAAATCCCATTTCAGTCTTTGCAGATGACACCAAGCTGTGCAGTGGAATAACGTCCTTACAGGATGTCTCCAACTTACAAGCCGACCTCAATGCACTGTTTAATTGGGCAACTATGTGGAAAATGGTTTAATATTGATAAATGTAAGGTTATGCACTTGGGGGCTAAGAATATGCATGCATCATACATACTGGGAGGGTACAACTGGGGAATCAATGGTGGAGAAGGATCTGGGAGTTCTGGTAGATCACAAGCTTAGTAATAGCATGCAATGCCAAGTTGCGGTTTATAACACGTGCAAAATCCTCTCTTGTATTAAAAGAGGTATAGACTTCAGAGAGAGAAATATTATTTTACCCCTATATATTCTAAAAACCATCCCTCAAATCTTCATACAACACAGGATCACGGATAACGTCACTCGCTAAGGTGCAGCTCTCCAAAGATAGGGGAGTCTTGGTGCTAGCAAAGAGAGAATAAAAGAGGGTGCACTATCCTCGTGCATTACCATGATAAGAAGGACATTTATTGTATTGAAACAAATAGATACTCACAAACCAATGGGTGTACAAACAGAGAGAGCCACAATTAACGGTCCCAGGTAGCGGGGATCCTGCAGTGGAAAATGCTAATGTGTTTCGGAAGTCGAGCTCCCTTCCTCAGGAGCTGAAACGCTATACAAGTGGATGGTCTATAAATAGGAGACCAAATGGTAGGGAAGACCCCACC